TACAATCTTGAGAGCCAATTGTAAATGAAATTTTTGTATATCTTGGGGTTTTACTATATCTGTTTTTTTCCCATAGGGTTTTAAACTTATTCTTACGGTGTTTAGTTTTTAATTTATTCAGTGGGATGCGGGAGGGTGTAGCTTTGAGCATTAACGGATATATTATTGTTAATTGTTTTCGTACATTTGTGATCTTTTTAAATTATTTTTATTCCAATGTATTGTATCTTTATTAACTAAGTATTTTTATTGTCACTCGTTTTATACATGAGCCTCTGGCTCGGATGATCTGGGCAACCCCATCCCACATATTGAAGTAAATAAATTGATTGATTGATTGATTGACATAGTGGCTTCCGTTTCCGGTAGACCGGACCGAAAGTCTTTGTGATTTCTGGTCCGGTTTTATATTTTAACTTAAGATAAGTCGAAATAAGGGATAATATACTCAAAATGACTCTTGTTTTCTATCCATTGGTCATACGATAAGCAAACTAGAAATAAATGAAAAAAAAATAATTTTGGAGCTCCACTTTTAGGCTTGGCTAAATATATATATTATGTTGATTCATTTTAAAGTTCCTTGGAGTTTTAAAAATACTCTTAGAATTATGTTTTGGGAAATTCCCTCGGATAATATCCCGGAAAAGGCCTCCTTTTCTTGGAATTTATCGAAACTTCTAATTGATCGTGCAAATTGCTTAGCCATGCATTGTTGAATAGAATAAGCAGGTTTATTTGACAGCCAATTATAGCTAAGAAGGCTGGTAAGCAAATACCTTTCGCAAACAAACCATCTGGGGTTGGATACTGATCTTGCTCCAAATTCTACATGTTTAACTAAGCCCAAAGAAAAACCTTTCCTTTTCTTTCATTCTTTGAATGGCAAACATGACCTCTGTCTTTGCCGATGGCGACTTCGTTTTCTTAGAAAGAAGACGTCAGTTCAAAACGATTTGATTGCGTCATTATTTTTCTCCAAAAACACCCGCTTTCCGAGAAAATAAAATGCATTATTTCCGGTGTTGATTAGTTGATTGTTTGGATTGTGAGAGGAGAAAATCACATCATTAACTTTATTTTATATATTCGCTTTCGCAGACATAAAATATAGAAATCCGACTTAGATATATTTGTTTCAGTTGGTTTTGCATTTCTGAGTTTCAGGTGACTGTTCCAGTTCACTAACCGTAACAAACAGCTGCTATTTTGTTGTAAGATCATAACTGTAATAAGCGTTGAACTGTAATCACTACCTGGGATAGTCTTTTGTTGAACTGTTATCTACCTGTATTGTTTTGAAAGTTATAATGTTGTAAACGATGAATTCCGTTATAGCCAATCGAATCTTCTGAAATGTATGAGATATTATGTTTAGTTAAAAATTCTTAATAGCTTTAAATAATCCTTTAGAGTTGGGGTTTCGGCTTAAATATTCGTCCCTTGTAAAAAATTCTTTGGTTATATGTTCCGGCTGCATTCTGGTTATGTTCTTGGATTAAAACGATATCGTTGGACCTATTTATTTTATTAGTTCTAAATGCTGTTGATGTCTCTGAAGATAATTCCCTGTAACAGAAGGCCTACTCTGGCCTACTCTGGGACCTTAAGTCGCCTAAAGTCGCCTTAGGTCGCCTTTAGTCGCTTTAAGTCACTTTAAATCATTAAAATCTTAAAGAGGTTCAAATTGTCTCGTAGTTATTACTTTTTTAGTTTTCTATTTCCTGAATGCATGATTTCTCATAAATTGTGTAATAACCCATGCTCAATAATATTAGCCACAGACCCACCCCACCCCCCACAAAAACTCTCACAGTAACTTAAGACCCTTTAATTTCTTCTCCAGTCCTCTAATTTATAGATTGAATTACTTTAGACAATTTAATACTACTAATTAGTTGTAAGCAATACAAGAATAATCATTCCTGTATTGTTTATGCAAACATGACACTTGTACAGGTATTTTAATAATTTCATCGGGGAGGTTTGTCTCGTATTTCCGAGCAAAAGTGTTGTTAAAAAGGCATTCAAAGGTTCAAGTTCTAGCTAAATTATATTAAACAGCGTGCAAAGAGAGTAGACAGAGTAGTGTCCAGGCAATAAACCTGGGGTGCTGGATTTTATTATTGAGCTGGTGAACTGCATTTTTAACTTGCCTGGCTGGCAAGTAAAGTTTTTTAGGGAATTCAGATTCAGAAGAACTGTAATCAATCCCATTCATAAAAAAATTGGGGCTAGTCAAAATGGCTTTCAGGCTAGTGCATGCTAGCTAGGTACATCTTGCCGGAATAGCAAGCTGTAAAGCTGACTTTCTTTGCACCCTGAACAAAATATAATTAAAAGTTAAAGTACCCTTTCTACTGCTTTGTGAGAGTCCAGCGTTGAAAGAAATTCCAAGTAACTAAGATCAAAACAGGTAGGTCGCAGCGGGAGAAAAGAAAACAATTATTGCCGCCACAACATTAATCTAAATTGTCTGGTAAGTAGGGCAAACAAGCCTTAAGGTGTATCAAAAAAATGTCCATGTAAATTACCGTTAGTTATTTGTAAGTTATTTCTCCACCACACAACCTCTGATCTGTATTTACCGTCGAATTATATCCATCTATCATTGACAGAAACACAATCACTCTTATAAACTTGAACACAGCTTAACTTGAACAGTCGTCTCTTTAGGTCCTTCCAGACAGAAATTCAAGCTTTGTACATCGAAGGTGCGTAAAACTACGCTTTGTTTATGTTGTCGTGATTGCTACCTGCCAAACGAGTTGATGTAATCGACCATTGTTGATGAAGAACGTACCGCGAACGTACAGCTCTTTTCCCTACGTTATGGCCGCCTGAGGGCATTGTGTTTTGGTCACGTGACTAGTTGGTCTTGAGGCCGGGAGAGGGCGGGACCGAGAAACAATGGAAATTAGCTTGCGACGGCAGTGGAATTCTGGGAGAAGCAAAATGGCGGATAGAACTGCGCTCTTGTTGTTGTCAATTGTACGTTGCGTTTTCGTTTGAAAATCTCCTTTTAAATAGAAATTTCTGAGATAATAATGGAAACGTTTACACTTGGCACTGCCATCGGTTTAAACATGACGCATAATGCTTCCTTTGGGCTGAGAGCGTAAACGCTGCCGCGTGGAACAGAGCGAGGTTGGTTGAGGCTAAGCTTAGTTGTTTCTGCTGGTGTGTAAATGCACTCATGAAATCAACCCGACTGGAAAGTTTTCAAAGGGACCATGAAAAGAAAGTATGCATGGTTCACTAGCGAAGCAAATATTTGGAAGTGTTTTGTTTGACCGAGACGGGAAAGGAGCAATATATACGGCGAGAACTACCAACTTTATGTTTTGAATTCAATTGGAAAAAAAATCCTCTTTGCCAAACGTGTGAGGACAAACATTGGCAGAGCAACTGCGAAGACATACAATGGGGATCGTCATTTCCATAATGTGCGATATCGATAAGTGATTTTAGATGTTTTAAATTAATTACTTATGTTTGTTGTCAAATTATGAAAAAAAGACACTTCAATATAAAGTTTTTGCTACAAACCAGCTTACAGTATTTTACAGAGATGTACGAAATACTGTACTTTTAGGGTTTTATTTTTTGGAAAAATAAATGTATGAACCATTGATTTTTTGTCCCTTATATTGTAAAATGATGCATTTAAAGGCTAAGAGAGAATTTACCCTTTTGGTTTCTTCTAACTCAGATTTTGTCTCTGCAAATGTAGTTCTAAACCAACACCCTTGATATTAGCCTGTGCCACAGATGGAACTAAACTCTGGGTTCAGTCCGTCGACAAAACAGCGGTAAAATCCTAGTTCTGGTTCCCCCGTGTGTGTATCAGGATGTGGGTACCTGCCAGGACTGGACTGTTAAAAATGCCATTGTCAATTTGCCAATCATGTTGAAGGGAAACTCAAAATGCTGGTAATTCGTTGAGTACGTTGGGGCCCAGAACAAAGATATTAGTGCTGCTTCACAAATGTTACTAACCAGGGTTAGAATACGTCTGCAACACAAGCTACCTTTGATATTTAACGTTCAAAATATTAGGTAGCTGAGATTGTTGAAAATTTGGAAGACTAATGTAGATGTCTTCAAGACTGAATTAACTTATGCTATGACATTGTGACCCTAGAGAGGTAGTGTTATCAGTAGATTTCAATTTTGCACATGTTGTAGTTAATTTTTCTTACAGATAATTTTTATTTTTCCATTGTTTCTCGGTTCTGATTATGTGTGCTAATGAATTTAAAACAAAGGAAAACCAAAAATTAACTGAACTAAAAAATTAGCTGCAACATATTCACTAACATGTAATTCACCTAAATGTCACCTTTTTCTCTTGAAGTCGCCTAAAGTCGCCTTAAATCGCCTTAAGTCGCACAACATTTTGACCAAATTTTCCTAAAGTCGCCTTAAATCGCCTTAAGACGCCTAAAATTACGGCGACTTAAGGTCCTAGAGTAGGCCCAACAGATTCCGGTACTGATACCCGCAGCCAGCGAGTTTCCCCAGGTTTTTACAGAAGTGCTTACCCAACAATTGTAAAGTTTTTTTTTTATTGCCACAACAAGTATTGACATACATTGTAGTATATACATATAGTAAAATAAAATCACACACAAAGTCATACAAGATATTTGATTTCAAGTCAAGGGATTCTACATTTTACAAAGCATTTGAAAAACGTGGAGATGTTGCGAGTATGCAACCAATTTGTATGACTAAACAAAGAAATCTAATATTGCCACCAAAAACAGAAAAGTACGAGGCTAAAAAAAACAAATAAATCAAGCAAAAAGTATATACATATAGTCAAAAACAATCACACAAAAAGTCATACAAGATATTTGTTTTTAAGTCAAGGGATTTTACGTTTTATGCTTCTTATATATTGTTAATGCAATAGATTTTGTGAGAGGGTATTTTTAAAGCGAGACCATTTCCGTACAAAGACGTTTGAGTCGTTATTGTGGAATGCAATCTGCTTTTCAATTTCTATCGAGTTCATAAGTACCTGTATATACACCTGCAGCTTAGGAAGCTTGTTCCCAAGTCTGCAGGTGTATATGTAATGTCTAGCTATAAGGAGTAGGTGTTGAAAGAGAAGGTCTCTTACGTCGTCAATGAGACCGAAACAGAGAGACAATGAGGGAGAGACATTTTCTAAATCTTTGAAATTTTGAGAGATCCACTACAACATGCTCTTCCAGAAGTTCGGAGTGTATTTGCAAGTCCAGAATAGATGAACGAGGGTTTCCTTTTGTTCCTCGCAAAAGGAGCAGGAATCTGTTTGTTTGATACCTATTTTGTACAGAAAGTCATTTGTGGCTATTTTTCTGTGAAGGAATTTAAATTGGAACGCTCTAAGCTTTGACTCTCTTGTACACAGAGATGATAGGCAGTACGTATTTTCCCAGTTTACTATTATACTAAGATAACAATGTATATCTCTCTCTTCCAACCAATTTCCCTGACTTCTTCCATCAATTGTAAAGTTATCGTTATTGTCAGTCACGGTCACGGCTGCCCGAAAACACGGCCGATGCAATGATACGCGCGGTGTCAGTGGCGAAAAGAAAGAAACACACGCACAGCGTGACCACCACTATACAAACACGTTGAAAGTTCATGCAAGGAAAAGTTTGATACAATGAAATATGTACTGTCATACAGAGGAGACTGAAAATCATCAATATTGCATGACAAACTTTCCTGTTTCTCTGGCTGGGGACTGGCAGATGAAACAAGTCCAAAACTTCAGAGTTGTCGGGGCGAAAAAAGATGGCGGCTACCGAGGAACAGGGTACAGCAACGAGAAGAACCCAGAACGACAAGCCAGAGGGTTCACTCCGTTTCAACCATGTTGCGAAGACGGAAAGGGGAAAGGCAGGGCCACAGACGATTCGCACTTCACTGAGGAAATCTTTCAGGCGCCTTGGCCATCGCAGGAACTGAGTTAGCGCAAAAAACACGGAAGATAAGGGCAAAATATATGAACCGCGTTCACTCTCCCAGGATACAATTATGCAGGCACCAAGCACCTTTGACTTGACCAATTCCCCTAGATTAGTCATCATCAAATCCATGTCCGTGATAGCCGAGACCATAGCTATCACTGCTGTTATCATCTGCAATAACCAAACTTCCGGCAGCAAAAAATGCGCAGCGATTATGAGAATAAGATTCGTGCTATCCAAACTTAAACGGGGAAAACAGTGTTCTCTCCACCGGAAACTTCTCTTAAAAAATATAGTGAGCTTCACTCCAATCCATAAAGATGAACAAATCACCAATAACTCCGAAGAAATGATTTCGATGTTCAGGTGAATTGCTGTGTTAACCGTAAAAGGATTTAATATCATGTTCTCAGAAAAACCATCCGCGTTTTCCACGAATTTGAAGAAGAATCGAAAGAAAAAATTTCTTGGAGTGGTAAAAATACTCTTAGAATTATGTTTTGGGAAATTCCCTCGGGTAATATCCCGGAAAAGGACTCCTTTTCTTGGAATTTATCAAAACTTCTAGTTGATATTGCAAATTGCTTAGCCATGCATTGTAGACGAGAATAAGCAGGTTAAATTGACAACCAATTATAGCTAAGAACGCTGGTAAGCAAATACCTTTCGCAAACAAACCATCTGGGGTTGGATAATCTTGCTCCAAATTCTACATGTTTAACTAAAATCAGTCAAAAACCTAAAGAAAACCTTTCTTTTTCTTTCATTCTTTGGATGGCAAACATATGACCTCTGTCTTTGCTGATGGCGGCTTCGTTTTCGTCAGTTTAAAACGATTTGATTGCGTCATTATTTTTCTCCGAAAATACTCGCTTTCCGAGAAAATCGAATGTGTCATTTCCGGTGTTTGTTAGTTGATTTTTCTGGATATGCGCACTAGCAAAAAAATATATTTAATCGATTTGAGAACACACCGTGATAGAGGGCTTTGCAAGAAACCTTCTTTTTTGACGATGGAAAGAAAGTTTCACCGGCAAAAAACCCCTCACAGAGATCACAAACGCGATGCGGTCTCAGTATTTCATCAGATATCGCAAAGTGCGCGAAGTGTTTTCGACACGAAGCGAAAAAGCGACAGCGAACAACCGAAGCGGCATCGAAGTGATGACATCGGGGACAACGCAAGAAACACCGAGCAAAATAACGAACTATCACAAAAAGAGAAGTTAATCAAGAATGGAAAGGTCGTCGTAGACAGGATCAACTTCGAGGACAGTCGACCATGGCCAAAGTCGCTGATGGAAAAGGTCGAAGAAATGCTCAAAATCGAAGAGCATCATGTCATTTGTTTGGAAGACATGACAAATGTAGAGTGGTGTCCCAAATTTGTCAAACCAGAAATCCATGGGCATGTAAGAGGAGGTAAGGCTTTGCCTCATCACAGATGTCGCGAATGCAGGCGTTTGTGTCTCCATCTTCTTGGTCGCCCTGGATCAAAAAGACAGTGTTTGGAGTGTTCAGGGAAATGGAATAAGAAATATATTCCAGTGTGGTATTACCACAACGGCTGTAAATATTGCAGAAGAACGTGAACTTCAAGTGACAGAAAAAGCTGTTTGACAACTTTAAGCGAGCTTATTTAACCGGCGATGCCTCAGTTTTCATTTTTACTTGGTGTTGAGAACCGGTTAGCAGCGAAATTTGGATAACTGCAAGTTGTTTCGCATTTCTTTTTTCAAAGCATTGTTGCGGCTCATGCTCGGTGAAATAACCTTACCGACCGCACAACACAAAGGAAACAGAAGCGCGAAGAACCTGCTAAAAACGCGAGCTAACCGGTAAGCAAAGAAGGCCTACCCTGGGACCTTAAGGCCCGGTCTAAACGGCGCTCCACTTTCATGTGCCGAACCAAACTCGATTGAGTTCCACTTTGGAGTGACTTTGGAGCGACTTTGGAGGACGGCTGATTCAGACGGCGTACTTGCGTCGAATTCGGGAAGCTCGTGGTAAACAATTTTCGATGAGAAAATATACGTTGTGAATTCAAGAACTCCGTCCAAATAGAGAAGCTGTGAGTAATATGTCGCTGTTATAGCAATATTTAGGGAAGCAAATTCAATCGCAAGATTCAGTGTTCGTATTTTGAGAGGTTTTCTTCAGGTAAATTCGACCTGTTAAAGGGAAATCTCATAAGCTGGGCTATTATCACGAAGAAAAAGCAAAAAAATGAATTTGCGCTAAGGAAACTCGCTTATACAGTCCCGTTTCTCATAAATCGAAGGCATAATGGGAGCTCCGAAACGTGACAGAGTTTTTGCTGTCTTTCTTTTTAGCAACGACTTCGAGCTTTATGCATGACTGGTCACGCCACTCAATTTTGCGCCAATCACAAGTGCCGTTATATGAAAAATCCATTAAAGTAATTTATGCATTAGGTTCGGCACATAAGGAGAACGCCGTATGAATCAGCCGCCGCTCGAATGTCGCATAGTGCGACAGACACTGCCGAATTTAATGTTGTTTGCCGCTCCAAACCTAACCTGCCGACCCAAACTGATTCAAACGCCGCTCTTCTGCCGTACTTCACTCAGCAGTTAGGTTCGGCGCATGAATGGAGCGGCGTTTGGAACGGGCCTAAGTCGCCGTAACTTAAGGCGACTTTGGGCGATTTAAGGCGATTTTAGGCGACTTAAGCAAAACTGACAGTGAAAACATTGCGACTTTAGGCGATTTGAAAGTGAAGAATGATCATCGCAGTAAATCCGTGAAAAATCCATAGGTTTATAGGCGATTTAAGGCTATTTAAGGCGACTTACGGCGACTTTAGGCGACTTGAGATGACTTTATTTCACTCGAGTGATATAAACCTAAACTTAGCAACAATCTCTCCATAGACTTTAAAATTATCAGCAAAATCTCTTGCAATAAACCTATATTGTATCAATCATTTGTTTAATTTTGTATTCACATATATTAGGTCGCCATAGTCTGAAATGGTCTCAAATATCCAGATTTCAAACCATTTTTTTAAAAATACTATTAAAGATAGAATTACCACAACACTGAACAGGTATAGTATTAATCTACGAACAATAATAACAATAAATACCAGCAAGATAGCATGACTATTGGTGAAGATATCACAATAGAAACCAACATCAACCAAAACTATTAAAAATATATATTCACAGTGACAAAAGTTTTAAATTTAAGAAAAGAGACCTGATTTAGCTTGATTTATATTAAAAATATTTTATTTTTCCCATAATTCAAACAACAAGGAAACTAAATTAATTAAGCTTATTTGCAGGCAATTTTTTTACAATGCTTCCCAAATTACAAAAATGGTTATCTTGGTATACTTATCTGCGATATTTTTGGCATCTCCACTGACAATTTTGGCTTGGGAATTAGCAAATAGCTGCCTCTCCAAAGTTGTTCAATCCTTTTCAGGGGCCCAATCGATTTGCTGCTCTCATATCTCAGCCAGTGAAAATACTCTAATACCATAATGAGTGCTGCATGCTAAGGTCCTTCGTGAGAACACTTCCTTTCAAATTTCACCAACTACTCGTCTAACTCCAGAAAAACTTTGACTACCCAGTTTACATAGTGAATCGAATCTTTTTAAAAGGTTTTATTTTACCACGGTTGATCAGACCACCAAGAAATATGCCTACCAAGCTATCTCTAGTATCTAGCTGGCGCATTACAAATGCCCAGAACTACATTTTCACAACGAAATACTTGAAACCAGACACACTGGTCTCCGCCATTTTGATTCTCCCAGTAACCCTTGCGCCGCTAACTGGTTTCCATGCTTCAAAGAGACGAGACATCCTGCGGGTTTCGATCCCTTCCGCCTTCGAGTTTTCCTACTTAGTGTTCCCGATTGTAGATTTATTTTAAATCAACCAATTCAACTTTCAGAGAGAATTAGTCTAAAGATTTGTTTTCTTTCTTTTTTTTGTAAACGCCTGTCGGAGTAATCATACTCGCGTGGGCGAGAGTAGCTCGCGTGAGCTCGCGTGTACTTTAGTCAGGAGGCCAAACTAACTCACGTGTGCTAAATATTGGCCTGGCGGCCATGTACACTGGGAAATCTTCTCAACCTTAGCTTTAATTTCGATAGTAACAGTAGCGCAGTCCACGTAAAGTGTATAAGATGATGTGAATACCTGGCTTCATCAAATGTACGAAAAGAATTTAACGTTCCATCCTCGAAGACCCAGGGGCAGATAGTGGGGGCGAGGGAAAGTCTACACGGGCTGGAAAATGACGCACGAAGAAAAGTAAAGAACGGCGAGAAGAGCCCCTGGGGACAATGTCTTACCAGACCAGTTCCAAACGGTCGCCCCCTTTCTGGCTTTTGATTGGTGCCAAAAAACTTGTGTTTTTCGGCGTCGACCGTTTGGAACTGGTCTGGTAAGACATTGTCCCCAGGGGCTCTTCTCGCCGTTCTTTACTTTTCTTCTTTCCACATATATTTTTCCGCCCGTTTAGACTTCCCTTCGCCCCCTTTATCTGCCCCTGGGTCTCCGAGGATGTTAACGGTCAAGATCATAAGCATTATGCTGCAAGTTGGTTCGTCCAGTTACGACAGTTGGTTGAATGTGGAAGTAAAATGCAAATAACGATTTATACTGGAGAAATGGCCCACTTTTGCCACTCTTTAACACTGGGTAAGCAAAGTGTTCAAACACGGAGCGATCCTGTAAAAGACAAGGAGAGGACACGCCACCATTGAAGCACTTTGTTGGTGGAAAGTCGAAATAACGGTCACATAACATAGAAGTCGTGAAGAAATAGCGTTTTTTTCGTTAAAACAACGGAGTCATTTACGTTGAATAATAAAAGGTAAATAATAAAAATACAGTGAAAATAAAACTTCTACTAACACTTTAGAAGATGCATTTGGAAGAACAAAAACGATGAATTATCTTCGTCACTTCATGCAGGAACATTCAAATTTTGCCACTAAAATAACAAAGCTGATGCCTACGATCAACGAGCTATGATCTGTTTCCATTTATTTCAGCATGCCGACTACGAAGACAAATCTCGTAAGAGATGATTGGATTTTGGTGGGATATTTAAAATTATTCAGATTTATAAGCGTAATGATGTGATGATGATGGTGGAAACAAAATGCAAATTGACAACACTGACTTATTCCTCAAACTGTTCTATATTCAGTGCAAAGAAATTGGAAACAAAAAGTACTGCGAAGAATCAAGAGAACTTGAAAAATGGCAAACTGAGATTTCGCCTGATATTGACCTTAGAAAAGAGAAGGAAGACTCATGGCTGAATGCAATGAAAACAAAAATTGCGTTCGTAAAAGGCCGACTGAATTTTAGCAGCAAGAGTGCAACAGCAGCCAATGTTCACCTTATGGAATCTCTTTTAGATAACTGGCTGAAGAATAACCATACTACCGTAGATATAATATATTACCTTCGCAATCTGCTTGTGTCTGGGGTTTTTTACGAATTTTAGTTTCCAAACTTATTACTCAAACGCGTTCATGATCTTCGAAGGAGCAAAGACAATTTGGCATCAAAAGAACTAGACACGGCATTTTATAAATTTGAGTGAACAGCTCGAATTCATACGATAGGCTTTTGCAAGTGGAGGAACAAAATTATGAAGTTGAAACTAAAAAAGTCAATTTTCTTTAATTTGTAAACTCTCCTCCTGAAGTTATCGTTCATTTAGTTCAAAAGGCATTGCTTACTTGTAAAATATATAAAACAGAAAATTACACCCGTCGCTCTCCAGAAATTTGTAGCAACGCGCCAAAATTAGACGTGAGTGAGTAAGCCAATCAAATGGGTGCTTTGGTCGTCCGTTGGGATTTGTGATTAGCAGGCTGAATACCTCAGCCTCGTTATATAGGATCGCTCCGTGTTTTAAATGTAGCCTTAGTTCGGTTCAAATGACTTTGGATGATCATGTTTCTACTGCTCAGTGTAAAAGTGACTAGAAAGAATTGAGCCTTTTTTTATCTTGATGATCCGGAATACCTCTCATTATTTGTTGTTTATACACTGTAGGCCTTCGAAAGATTTGATTCGGTAATATCTTACAAAAAGTAATAAATGAAATTGATTATCAACGTCATCATCAACATCATCATCACAATCGCTCTCATCGAGAACTTTACTACCTTCAATCATTTTCTTAGCAATGTCTATGGTTACCAGATGTATTTTTTCTTGCTTTATTGCTCCTCTTGAATGCTTCAGCTTTCGTTACATGACGTACAGGTCTAAGACCTTAACTTTCAGTTTCTTCAGCGTTCCTTCCCTATAAGGCCTACTCTGGGACCTTAAGTCGCCGTAATTTTAGGCGACTTAAGGCGATTTAAGGCGACTTTAGGAAAATTTGGTCAAAATGTTGCGCGACTTAAGGCGATTTTAGGCGACTTTAGGTGAGTTACATGTTAGTGAATATGTTGCAGTTAATTTTTAATTTCAGTTAATTTTTGGTTTTCCTTTGTTTTAAATTCATTAGCATTCATAACTATACCCAGAAACGATGGAAAAATAAAAATTAACTGAAATAAAAATGAACTACAACATATACAAAATCAAAATCTGATAACACTACCTCTCTAGGGACACAATGTTGTAGCATAAGTAAATTCAGTCTTGAAGACATCTACATTAGTCTTCCAAATTTTCAACAATCTCAACTACCTAATATTTTGAACATTAAATATCAAGATAGCTTGTGTTGCAGGTGTATTCGAACCCTGGTTAGTAACATTTAATAGCTCTAATATCCTTGTTCTGGGCCCTGACGCACTAAATGAATTACCAGCATTTTGAGTTTCCCTTCAACATGATTGGCAAATGGACAATGGCATTTTTAACAGTCCAGTCCTGGCATGTTCTCTAATCCTGATACACACACAGGGGGCCCAGAACTAGGATTTTGCCACTGTTTTGCAGATGGACTTAACCCAGAGTTTAGTTCCATCTGTGGCACAGGCTAATATCAAGGGTGTTGGTTTGGTATTACATTAGCAGAGACAAAATCTGAGTTAGAAGTAACCAAAAGGGTAAATTTTCTCTTGGTCTTTAAATGCATTATTTTATATTATAAGGGACAAAAAATCAATGGTTCCTGCATTTCTTTTTCCAAAAAATAAAACCCTAAAAGTAGAGTATTTCAATACATCTCTGTAAAATACTGTAAGCTGGTTTGTAGCAAAAACTTTCTATTGAAGTGTCTTTTTTTCATAATTTGACAACAAACATTTAAGTAATTAATTTAAAACATCTAAAATCACTTATCCATATCGCACATTATGGAAATGACGATCCCCATTGTATGTCTTGGCAGTTGCTCTGCCAATGTTTGTCCCCACGCGTTTGGCTAAGAGGACGTTTTTCCAACTGAATTCAAAACAAAAAGTTTGTAGTTCTCGCCGTATATATATTGCTCCTTTCCTGTCTCAGTCAAACAAAACACTTCCAAATACTTGCTTCGCTAGTGAACCGTACTCTCTTATCCATGGTCTCTCTGGAAACTTTCCAGTCGGGTTGATTTCATGAGTGCATTTATGCACCAGCAGAAACGTAAACAACTAAGCTTAGCTTCAACCAACCTCTCTCGGTCTGTTCCACGCGGCAGCGTTTACGCTCTCAGCACAAAAGGAAGCATTATGCGTCATGTTTAAACCGATGGCAGTACCAAGTGTAAACGTTTCCATTATTATGTCAGAAATTTCCATTTAAAAGGAGATCTTTATACGAAAACGCGAGGTACAACATTCTATCCGCCATTTTGCTTCTCCCAGAATTCCACTGCAGTCGCAAGCTAATTTCCATGGTTTCTCGGTCCCGCCCTCTCCCCGCCTCCAGACCAGTTAGTCACGTGATCAAAACACACTACTTTCTGGGCGGCCATAACGTAGAGGAAAGAACAGTATTATTTCGCTTTTCTACGTTCTTCATCAATAATGATCGATTACATCAAATCGTTTGGCAGGGAGCAATCACGACAACATAAACAAAGAGCAGTATTACGCACCTTCGATGTACAAAGCTTGAATTTCTGTCTGGAAGGGAAGACCTAAAGAGACGACTGTACAAGCTAAGCTAAGTGTTCAAGTTTATAAGAGTGATTGTGTTTCTGTCAATGATAGATGGATATAATTCGACGGTAAATACAGATCAGAGGTTGTGTGCCGGAGAAAAAACTTATCATTAGTTGCTCTTAAAATCTGGGTCGGTAATTTACATGGACACTTTTTTCGATTGACCTTTAGACTTGTATTAACTACCAGAAAATTTAGATTAATGTTGTGGCGGCAATAATTGTTTTTTTCTCTCCCTTCAACCTACCTGTATTGATCTTAGTTACTTGAAATGTCTTTCAATGTTGGACTCTCACAAAGCAGTAGAAAAGAGTTTTAACTATATTTTGTTCAGGGTGCAAAGAAAGTCGGCTTTACAGCTTGCCTAGCATACACTAGCCTGAAAGCCATTTTGACTAACCCCAATTTTTTTTATGAATGGGACTGATTACAGTTCTTCTGTAATCTGAATTCCCTAAAAAACTTTACTTGCCAGCCAGGCAAGTTAAAAACGCAGTTCACTAGCCCAATCATAAAATCCAGTACCTCAGGGCTATTTGCCTGACTCTGTCTACTCTCTTTGCACACTGTTTAATGTAATTTAGCTAGAACTTGATGCTTTGAATGCCTTTTTAAACATATTATTATTATATTTTTACTCAGAAATATGAGACAAACCTCCCGGATGAAATTAATAAAATACCTGTACAAGTGACTGGATAAAGTTGTGTGCTATATGTTGTCATTTTTGCATAAACAATACAGGAATGATTATTCTTGTATTGCTCACGACTAATTATTACATGTAGTAAATTGTGTAAAGTAATTAAATGTATAAATTAGAGGGCTGGAGAAGAAATTAATGGGTCTTAAGTCACCGTGAGAGTTTTTTTGTGGGGGGTGGGGTGGGTCTGTGGATAATATTATTGAACACGGGTTATTACACACTTTATGAGAAATCATGCATTCTGGAAATAGAAAACTAAAAAAGTAATAACTACAAGACAATTTGAACCTTGTTAATATTTGAATGATTTAGTGACTTAAGGCAACTAAAGGCGACCTAAGGCGACTTTAGGCGACTTAAGGCGATTTTAGGTGACTTAAGGCGATTTTAGGCGACTTAAGGCGACTTTGGGCGACTTTAGGCGACTTTAGGTCCCAGAGTAGGCCTCCTATACAATGCTTCCCAGTAGTAATCTGCAAAGGATTTTCGGTTCTCCTTCCAGGTTCGCCCTCTTTCTGCTTTCCGTCCTCTAGTTACTTTTCCTCTATAGTTCCAGAAGATGGTCCACATATTGCTTGATTAGCCTTTTCTCGACAACACATTTCCTGCTGAAATTCTCTATGGCATCCTCGCCATTCATTATTTTTAAATGCATCAAAGGCCAAAAAATGTGATATGTCAATGAATAGTACCACGATATTAAAGATGTTGATTGTAGAAATAGACGTTAATTCCTATTCTTCCCACTTTGCAGCAACTTACCCTCAACAAACAACGTTCTGAGCACTACTCTTGGCTGATAATCATCTACCTGTCTACTTTCACTAGGCGTTTCCTCTAGAGAACAATGGTGTAGTCCTCCACGGTTGTTACTGTTACTGTTACTGTTTAAGACTGATTGAGTTTTGTAAAAGTGCAGATAGGATTACTAACTGGACCACTATAAGTCCAGCTAAGTTAACCGTTAACGGGCTACGCAAGAAATATCGCTCCCGTAGAGCAACAAAGTTTTGCGACAAATTGAATGCCTGATTTTGTCTCGTATTTCCTGCCTTTGGTAATGGCATTGTACCATACCAGAATTTATTTACTTTTCAGAATAATTGTTCTGGGTGTGGGCCTTTTTAAAGCCGCAATCAAACGATCCTGGTGATGAAAGGTAAAACTTTTATTTCTAAGTTTGCCACAAAAAAAGGTAATTCCTCCTCAACATTAGCTTCCACAGCTTTCAAATTCTACCAAAAACACAAAAACAGTCCGAGTACCAAAACGCAAAACGCGAGCCCAGAACCCCCCCCCCAAAAAAAATCGCAACCCTCCCCCAAAATTTAGCGGCCCTACCTCCCCCAATAGTTAATGACGTACCACTCCCTTGCTTCTAAAATAAATTACACCCGTCGCTCTTCAGAATTTTGTGGCAAGGCGCTAAAATTAGGCTTGAGTGAATAAGCCACCAACTGGTAGCACTGGTCGTCCGTTGGGATTTGTGATTGGCAGGCTGAACACCTCAGCCTCGATATATATAGGCTCGCTCCGTGTTTAAGTTGAAAACTGGTGGAGGCGTGATCCAAAAAATTGAAACAATCTGCTGAACACAAGGAGCGACAATGTCCAGAATTTTGCAGGTGTTTGAAAATTTGAGAGGCCCTATCACCGGCTAAATGCTCTTTTACACGCGTCGAAAAATGCCGGACCGTTTCGCCGACGTAAGAGGCATTACTGCCTGACAATGCAAACTTGTAAACCACACGTGAACGGAGCCCGCCAGGGATAGGGTCTTTCACACCAAACATGTAACTGATCTTGAAAGAAGAAAATACTTGCATAATATTGCAATAGCGCTTGATGGAATGGCAAATCTTTTTTTTGGAGTAAAAGTAGAAAAATGGCCTATGTAGGGTAGCTTAATTAAAGTAAAACGTAGCGGAGGTGGTGAGAAGGGAACCCCGGGGACAATGTTTGCTTTGGGTCCCAGTGATGTAATGATTTATGAGCGACGGTCAGGAAAAATCGACCAAAATCTTAATTTCGTGGCAAGAGTTGAAAAATCAATTTCTTTCATTTTTTGTTCATAGAAAGCTTTTAGCTAGATAAGAAACCTAATGTAGATTGTTTCCTCCAAAAGCTTTTTATTTGTAAGAAAAACTAGAAGATCGGTTTTCGATGTGGGAGTCTCAGGCTGCCCTAATTTTTAACCTGAAATTCGCTAACACCAACTTTCCTCGCTTTCGCAAACGAAGCCGTATGGAGAAATTTGGACACTTTCCACGAACAGAAAAATTCTTCTTCTTCCACTAGAACATATTTTCAGGGCAATAGCGAAGCTCCTCGTACTGAAATAATTCAAAAATGAGGGATAGGTTTTCAGGATAACAAAAACTTAAGTTCGTTACTCATTATCGACGGCAATATTTAACATGTGGTATAACTCCAGATTCTCTTCATGCTATTTAAATCACACATTTAGACATTCATTAAAAACATACCAGGGAATTGGCTTGGGTTATTGAAGGAAATCTCTGTAAGACACCATCGAAGTTCAGGAATTTTCATGGTGGGCCGAAGGTAATTGTGTAAACACTTCCAATTTCGAAATGCACAAAAGTAGAAACTTACAGCCCTAAAGGCTCGTTTTTCGTGGTTCTTGTAGGTTTCCCCATTGCAAAATTGCTTATTTCAATCAAAGAGTGGAGTAAAATGGTGAAACTGGGTCAATTTTAGCCATTTTGAGACACTGAACTCCAGCCGGCGACTCCGCGTGACAATCTTTTCCGTGACAGCACCTGTCATAACGTAGGTTTGAAGAGACGGTGCCGTCAAAATGACAGTCACGGAATCACGGTAGTAACGCAACGCAATTCTTGAAAAAGTAACATTTTCGCTGCCGAAAGTATTTTGAAGAAGAAAAATATCAAACGCGCTAGTAATCTGGTGCTCACTTTTTATCGAAAAATAAGGACTTTAACAATGGTAATTCGCTAAGGATGATGGAACAGTAAGATATTTCGTCTTGTTACTTTACGATCGAGGAAACTAATTGGAGCCGTTAAATAAGTTGTTTTGGTCACGCTTCACTATATTTACCCGACTTCGATGCGTTTCGTTTGAAGGCTGCTTTTAGGAACCCAAGCCAATTCTCAGGTATGTTTTAGGTGAATGTCTAAATGTGTGAATAAACGAGGACTGGGAAAATTTGGAGCTATACCACGTAAAGAATAATGTCGCAAAAAACAACTACTAAATTAAAGTTTTTGTCACCGTAAAAACCTGTTCTTCGTTTTTGAATTATGTCAGTTCAACGAGTCTCGATATTGCTTTGAAAGTACCTTCTATTGAAAGAAGAAGAGTTGTTCTATTGATGGAAAGTGTCCAAATTTCTCCCTGCGCCTTTATTTGCGAACGCGAGGAGAGTTGATGTTAGCAAATTTCGGGTTGAAAATACGGCCATTTTGAGACTCCCACCACGAAAACTCATATTTTAACTTTTCTCGAAAATAAAAGGCTTTTTGCGAGAATAACTTACATCAGATAACTTATCTACCTAAAAGCTATTTACGGACAAAAAATGAAAGAAATCGATTTTTCAACACTTGCCACTCGATGGTCGATATTTCCTGACCGTCGCTCTTATAACCTTTTCAATTCAGTAAATGAGCAGGGAAAAGATTCCTTTTAAGAATATCCATGAGCTTAGTGATGTCCTTGTGAAACCCTAACGGGGTTTTATTAATCTTATAGGCCCTATCAACGAGAGTTTTTATGAGGCCCACTTTGTAAGAGTACGAGGTAAAGCTAAAATAATTAGTAAATAGCCCAGTGAAAGTTTTCTTGCGGTAAACTCTGATTAGAGAGAAATTGGGGTTATTGTTATCGATCAAGACGTCTAAAAATTGTAGACTAGAATATTAGTTTAATTTTGAAATTCAAACAAGAGAAATTTCAGGAAACAAAATCGAACTTATCGTGTTTTTGTCTCAAAACTGTTCTATTGTTTCTTAAATTCAAATTCTTGAATCATGTTCTCCGGGACTTTAGGGGAATGGCCCCCTTTTAAATAAATGCATTGCAATATTACACGAACAGAGACCTTAAACATAATTTCAATTTATTGTCCTTTATGATTAAACAACATTTGATCTACAACTATTACATCTACTTTGATTGAGTGAGTCAACAACTCAATTTTGATTCAAATTGATCTGAAAATCGCGTCTATTTTTGAATCAGTGCCAATTTTCATAATATGCAAGAGGTAATCAGTGATGAGAGGTAAACTGTGATTATTCAGATAAAGGATAAGAAGTAAATTGTGAAAAATAACCGACATATTCAATTATAATGCTATAGTTATTGTCAGTCACGGTCACGGTTGCCCGAAAACACGGCCGGTGCAATGATACGCACGGTATCAGTGGCGAAAAGAAAGAAACACACGCACAGCGTGACCACCAATATACAAACACGTTGAAAGTTCATGCAAGGAAAAGTTTGATACAATAAAATATGTACTGTCATACAGAGGAGACTGAAAAGCATCAATATTGCATGACAAACTTTCCTGTTTCTCGAGCTGAGGACTGGCAGATGAAACAAGACCAAAACTTCAGAGTTGTCGGGGCGAAAAAAGATGGCGGCTACCGAGGAAAAGAGTACAGCAACGAGAACCCAGAATGACAAGCCAGAGGATTCACTCCGTTTCAACCATGTTGCGACGACAGAAAGGGGAAAGGCAGGGCCACAGACGATTCGCACTTCACTGAGGAAGTCTTTCAGGCTCTTTGGCCATCGTAGGAACTGAGTTAGCGCAAAAAACACGGAAGATAAGGGCAAAATATATGAACCGCGTTCAATCTTCCAGGATACAATTATGCACGCACCAAGCACCTTTGACTTGACCAATTCCCCTAGATTAGTCATCATCAAATACATGTCCGTGATAGCCGAGACCATAGCTATCACTGCTGTTATCATCTGCAGCACAAACTGCGCAGCGATTATGAGAATAAGATTCGCGCTATCCAATCTTGCTATTATAATCGGCAGCAAAAACTGAGCAGCGATTATGAGAATAAGACTCACGCTATTCAATCTTAAACGGGAAAAAAAGTGATCTCTCCACCGGAAACGTCTCTTGAAAAATATAGTGAGTTTCACTCCAATCCATAAAGATGAACAAATCGCCAAGAAAAACTCCGAAGAAATCATTTTGATGTTCAGGTGAATTGCTGTGTTAACCGTGAGAAGAATTCAGTCTCATGTTCTAAGAAAAACCATCCGCGTTTACCACGACTTTGAAGAAGAATTGAAATACAAATACTCTTAGAATTATGTTTTGGGAAATTCCGTCGGGTAATATCCCGAAAAAGGCCTCCTTTTCTTGGAATTTATCGAAACTTCTAGTTGATAATGCAAATTGTTTAGCTATGCATTGTTGAATTTAATTGACAGCCAATTATAGCTGAGAAGGCTGGTAAGCCGAACAAACCATCTGGGGTTGGGTAATCTTGCTCCAAATTCTACATGTTTAAGTAAAATCAGGCAAAAAACAATAGAAAAACCTTTCTTTTTCTTTCATTCTTTGGATGGCAAACATATGGCCTCTGTGTTTGCCGATGGCGACTTCGTTTTCTTAGAAAAAGGACGTCAGTTCAAAACTATTTAATTGCGTCATTATTTTTCTCCGAAAACACTCGCTTTCCGAGAAAATCGAATGCGTCATTTCCGGTGTTTGTTAGTTGATTTTTCTGGATATGCGCGCTCAACCTCGTCCCCATGGTCTTCTCGCTTTCCAATATGGCGGCAGTAGGAGAGAGGACCCTGGCACACAGCAGAAATCACGTGACCGATTTGCCCACGGAGAGAGGAAATTTATTCAAAATGGCGGCCAAGATAAAGAGTGAGAGGATCTGGGTACAAGGTCTTGAGACTGGTGAAAAACAAACAAAATGGCGGCAAAGGCAAACTCGAAAGAAGCTCAAACTACGCAAGAATTCACTTACAAGCCACAGGAATACGGTAGAATGATATAGCGATCTTATTTTCTGTTCATTGACCTTCATTTGTTTTAAGCCTGAACGTTCTACTGTCTACCACTTAATTTCTCGATGCCGCGCCGGCCCTTTTTCACTGTTTTGTCTTTTTGCCCACCCTGCGTGCCAGAGGTTCAGTTTTCTTCTCTCGTGAAAGGGGAGCTTTTTTCTAACCGTGATCGTAATTTATTTCATCTTAGGAATTTCGAGAACAGACCTCTGAAGGCAGAGAATTTTTTGTCATGACGCTCTTAAACCTCTTCCACTCCGAAATTCAACTAAGCATTAAATTAAGTTATTTTGTTACAGATCTTCATGAGGTTTTTGACTATTGTTTTTCTATCTGCACACATTTTAATTGAACTCTGATATGTAAAAGCAATTTTTTTCTGAAAACAAGAACCAGAGAACACTATTTTGTTAATATAATTTGAGGAAACTTTGGTTGAAAATTAAACAGTTCCTTGTTCAGTTTGGGTATTTTGTCACTCGATCTGGTACAATTAATAAAATAATTGTCAATCTTTATCTACTTCACAGTTTTTAGACTTTCTTATTGGCTTTTGATATCTAACTCTGTTCACAATGCTTCCAGGCAATAGACTATAGGGGCCTTATTTAATCTAAAAAAGACGCTGGTATTAGTTCCCTACAAAAAAAAATGCCAAGTGGAAAAGCCTAAGTACAAGAAGGTTGGAGGTCAAGCAGCCGAGGATCAAAAAACAAATCCGATCAGATTCGATCAAATCGGTCCACACAAAGTTTTACAATTGTCATTGATTGATACAGTCTTTTAT